TTCCATTCTTGTTGAGTCTTCTTGATAATGTAGATCTGGACACTTTCTGTCATTTGGTACATGGTTGTTTATCTCATGCTTGAGATTAGTGGCAGTCTTCCTTTGTCCCAAAGATACTTAACAGCAGTATCACTGAGTTTAGGTGTTCTGCCTCTGCCTTTCCTATTTTAAAGTTTACCTGTCTTGGTCTCAAGATCTAGTGTGCAATTGACTGTGTTTGAGGAGCATTTCAAGTCTGCAGCAATTAGTCAGGGTCCAACCAACATCACATAAAGCTTTTATGCAAACTCTCTGCTTTACTGACATATGTCTACACTTTTTGGGCCATGGCATGACAACAAAACTTAATATATACAGTGTTAAACACTGTTTTTATCAAGGTTTATTTGTGGATTGCTATTAAATTGATTTTTTTCTAGCATATACAGGAACCATATGCTCGCTCCTTGCTAGCTTCTTTCTGTATAGTTAAGACACTGTATGGGGTACCATGACAGTTATTTCAGTCCCTAAATTTGATCAGTATGTTCATTCAAGCAGAACCCTTATGATGTGCCCTTGGTAAAATTATATGGGAATTCTAAAGAATGGAAAGAATGACAAAATATTCTCTTGTCCTAACACTTTTGCATAGTACTGTATGTATATTATTACTATTTACATACAAGTTCTTAAATTTCAGTTATCTTTCTTAAAATATTGAACAGTAAATAAAGAAATATAGAAAACAATGATCTCTACAACTTACGATTATAAAGAAGTTTGTACTCACTTGCCATACCTTGCATGCTAAGCCTTTCTGAAATTTGCATGTGGAGGATGTAAAACAATAACTTTTTTAGGTTTCATATATGCATTTTTAAATAATAAAAAATTATAAATTACTTTACCAATATCACAGAATTACACTGTAATTTATCAGGCTTACTGTATTTGGGTCTAAAAAAATAGTTTTTTGAACAACATTTTCACTTATCCCTTCCTTATGAGATTGGAGACAGAAAAAAAAAATCTTGGGACATTCCCACATTCAAGAAGCTGAGAAAACCACATGGGGGAAATTCTGAGCTTTTGATTGGTTATAAACACATGATATAGTGAAGCAGGTGTATGTAAGCAAGTATTTCCAAAAATGGAAATGGTGGTGGGGCCACAGTGTTTGATTCGCTAAATACAGTGATATCTCAGCAAGTATAAAAGATAGGTTCTTATTTTATATTCTAGCTTGTAAATATCTGTAATTTGAGTTTCTAATTCGTAAGCCTATAGACTTTGTATTTGGACATCACAAACATCTAATTTAAACCAAAGCTGCATTCAACATACCACATGACACACAAAAATCAATATTTAGGAATATAGTATAATATTTACTTTTCAATTATGAAATTATCTAATGTATAATACTAAAATTTGAATTACAGCCTACAATTTGATACCAAACTTATTGACATACATTAACAAAATAGTAGTTCAATAAAATTTTGAATGCAAGTCTACAAACATGATTACATGCCCTTTGACCATAGGAAAACCCATAGCGATAGAGCTAAGAGGAAAGATAACTTGAATAAATTACAAAAATTATCATGACTAGACTCATTTTTTCCCAAAAACATTTTAAGCAATGAATTAGTCTCATTTGCCACAAAACTAGCAGAACAGAAAAATAAACTGTAGAAAACATAAGTACCTAAAATAACAAAAGCAACATGAACATTAATATTCCATCAACCTTAAGTGAACATAAACCAGAGATTGCTTTTCAAATTCTTGTCGTCCAAAATAGCATTTTTTAATTAGATGAATAAAGTGAAAAATGTATGAAGTGATTAGATGTAGACTTACTCCCACAATTTCTAGAGACAATGGCAATAAGCAATTTACCTCTTGACCATGTAGGAGAAGACTCATCAACGCTTCCTTGAGAGCTACCTTGTTTCTTAAGCTTGTGTCTATTGGATGACCCTTTGGTCTGTGTCTGGAAAGTAAATAATTCCAAAGATATATATATATATATACATTTTAATATAGTTATCCAGCTTAAAACACTTTTAATGTGTGATTTATGAACATTACATATAAATAGAGCTAGACAATTAGTGGAATTTGATAATCGATTAATCATCAGGCTCATTATTCAATTACATTAAACTAATAAATCATTCTCACATATCATTAGGATAGGTGGAATAATGGTAAACTGTAATAATATGACACACTAATTTCAATTAGCTAATTATTTTCACAAGTTATAATACTAATCAATTAAGCTGAACAACCTAGAATTAATTAAAAGTAACGAGAAATCATAATTTCAGTATTTCAATTACTTGGATAGTTGGAACAATAAAATACAGTAATAATTGGAAATACTTAGTACGATAAGTTGATTATTTTTATAACATTAGTCTATTTAATTATAATTTGATTAATCGATAATTTTGCATGATAATCAGTATAATGGATGATCACATGTAATCGTTAATATTGATTAATCATCCAGCTCTACATACATAGACACTTAACAACTGAGAATGTTTTTTAAATTATGCAAATTTTGATATCTGAGTAAATATTTCTGACAGGTTAAGAATGACATATTTGAAATCTTTACTGTCTTTAATCTCTTGGTTTTTAAAAATTAGGAAATGTAATATTTTACAGCCTAATATAATATTTACAAAAACAAAATTACAAATTTCAGAGATTACTCTCAGTTATTTTGTATAACCATGGAAATTTTTTATCAATGACAATGAGGATATTCATGTGAAAGTAGCCCAGTTCAATACTAAGATGTCAGCCTATGAATTTTAATCAGGTACCATTAAAATAAATGAGACTCCCTACCTAATCCATCACATAACAATACGTAAAACAGTGGCTTAGGTATCATAGGATTTATTTAAGCCTAAACGTGTTGGACTGACATTAACAAACCATGTCACATACTGATAAGTACTGAAATTCTTATCTCACATATTAAAAACAAATGCTTTACTATTTTGCATGTTGAAACTTTTAGGTATAGTGATTATTATTTATTCAAGTATGCCTGATTAACCAGATAATTATTTTTTTTCCAAAAAAAAAAATTGGACTAATCGTCTTAATAAATGAAATTGAATTTCCATATAATAATACTTCCTATAATTTCCAGGCTTGCTTATATTATCAAAAAAATGCTTTCAATAAATCAATGCTTTATAATCTAATAAACACACCCATTACCAAAATATTTTTCATCCTACCTTTTCTTTCTTTCTTTGTTCTAGCTTAAACTTTTTAAATATAATTTCCAACAATCTCATAAAAAGTTTGAATAACAAACTATCTCACATATCAAACTAATAAAATATACTGTCAACTAATAACAAAACCTTAGACAAACTCAGTAGGTTACAATGTAAAAACATTACAACATAAGACTTGTGCAAACTGCATACCAGGTTAATCATTAAAATTAGTATAACTAATAAAATCTGTAAGGAATATCAACAATAAAATATACACATGCAGAGTCAATTATATTTCACAATGCAATCCCATCATTCACATATGTATAGATAAACAAACTTTTCATTAAATGAACACAAGCAGAAATGAGTTATCAGTAAATTAATGCAACTATCATATAACTAACTGGATTTCATACACTCTTGGTCAATTACGTTTGTTGCTCACACATAATGAGAAAGTAAACAGTACAATCTAAATACTAAGGTATAGAAGCAGAACATTCTTCTTGGCATTAACAACTGTTGAAATGAACATTTTTGTCTGACACATTGTACAAATTCCAAAGGTTTAAGTACTGTTACATTTTTTAGAACACCTTTTAATCTCACATTTATGTTACAAATATATATGCAGAACATATTCTTTAATAGAGGCCAAAAGTACTTTTATCAAGCAACCTTCAACCATTTGAAAATTCAAAACCATAAATTAATTTTAAAAAAATCACAAAAACTTGCAGATAAAAATCTTATGGCTTTTAGGCCTTACTTTTATCTTTCATAGAGTAAAATAAATTGTGTATAATTTTGGCTCATCATACCAGCTCAAAAAAACAACAACAAATGAAATCTGTAAATGTAATGTATGGGTAAATGAAATTAAGAATTTAACCATTGTAATACAAGCTACTAAGCATTACACATTTTTCATACAAAAGAAAAAAAATTAACACCCAATTTTTTAATTCCTTTGCAGAAGATATTACACACGTAAAACTGTAATATAGTAATACTGTTTTTGTAAATGAAAATATTAAAAATTCCAAAAAATTATATTAGTTTTTTTTATAATACTATAACTGTATACAATGCAAAAAATCCATGATGTAATTAGTAATTCTGCATTTTTACTAAATTGCAAATTATAATAATATAATTATTCAAACTACACCAGTTTAAAAACAACACTAACAATTATAAAATGTACTTTCAGAGATCAGCAGTCTCCTTCTCCATAGGAACCAGTTAAAAGGTATGATGCAAAAGCTTTCTAAGTACTAGTATGTATGTAATCTTATATAGGTCCCATGTTGTCCCAAGATATTATGTTATGTTAAAGTATGTAACTCCTTCATCTATTTTGAAAACAAGAAGTTAATAAGCATCTGGATAATTTAGGGATCTCTTCAAACCCATTGTCCCCATTCACTTTAACTTCTGCTGCAAGTTATGACAGTTAATGAAGAATGTTACAGAGCCATGTTTGTGTTAATATCAAATTTACACAAGGACAAAGTAATTCTTAGCTATAACTTGGTGCACATTTATTAGATTTCAAGATAATACAAATTTTTAGAGAACTTAATGCCTTCTTGATACATTCCGACATCCCCTGTACATATAGAAGATATTTTCTTTGTACTCTAGTTTTGGCTTATGCAATGTTCTTTTTTATATAGATATATAAATTTGTCAAGATATCCCTTAATTTTTATATAACCCTGTATGTTTCTTATTTTTTAAATTCAAAGAGTTTTTATAACTGGTATTATACTGATTCTGCTTAACAGTTTTCACCACAGCTTTGTGGATTGTTGAATAATGAAAGAAAAACTTAATATTTACCCATATAAGTGGATTTATTGTGTAACATGTTACTGATTTCTACAGTTCATTATGGATGACCATAAAATCAATAAAAGATAACTCTGAAAAGTTTTCTTTTGACTATATTCCCTTCTTCATAAGCAATTTACATTAGTGCAAATATATCACCTACATATTTTCAGATACATAACTGGTTAGGAAATTAATTTAGAATATCATAACCATGTCATCTTAAACACTGTAAGTACATGGTCCCATGGCAGTTCCACAAACCTCTTTATAACACTGTTGTTGACTGAATAAAAAAACAGGTTCAAAATAAAATGTTAATAACTTAACTATCACCTCTGTTTTTAATTCTAAGCCTGCATGTTACTAAGTTTCTAAGATACAAACTGAATAACTAATTCAATTGGAATAACTATGAATAATACCATTCAAATAAAGGAGAAATTACATCAGCTAAGTATTGAGATACATTTTGTATCAGAGTTGTAATATAAGAAAAACAAAATAACCTCAATGAAATTTCAAGTCTGTGCAAGTTAAGGTACCACCGACCCTTAAAGAGCACCCCCATCACATTTTTCAAATTTAGCCTATATCCAGAGTTTAACCACTTTTCATCATAAATAACTAATTTTTGTCTTACAATCTTTACTAATTAACCTGTAGTAACTGATTAAAAATAAAATACTAGTTTGTTTTCATTCCATTTCCACTTCACCATTAAAGTCAACATCAGTATGAAATTTATCTCACTTGTTGATATTACATTCTTCCATAGTTTGAATTCAAAATTCAAAAATCTTTACTAATTGTCTTGTTACGAGAATAATTACCACTAACGAAGGCATTGATTAAAATTAATTGCCCATAACTAATTATTAACATTGCAGAAAATTTTCAAAAAGTTTTAATTCAAGCTATGAATATGTTCACAAAGAGCACGTGTATCAATTTTCATGTTTTATGATTCCTTAGTGAAGTTATGGTGTTAAGACAGTTTAGGTTATGTATTTCTTTATCCCTGCCACATTAATGATGCACATGACATATATATGACTGATAGAGTACTTTCGGAGATTTGACATTGCACTTTTTTGAGCTCAATTTGAAGGTTATAAGAAGTGTTTAACAGTGTCTCCTCAGCATGTAAATTTGCCCAGTTTTAAGAGTCAGTGCTACCTTAAGTAACAAACAGAATTATACTAACTTTTACTAGCATTTACAGCTTCATTGTGCACAGAATTAAGCTTTTTTTTTCAGTAGATAATATCAAGAGTTAAACTTCATTTTTATATGGCTTTTCATTTTATAATCCATCCCAGAACCACAGTCCTTTCTATGTTGGTAGAATGAATAGTGAATTTAAATTCCTTAGTTGGCTATAACAGCTTTAGAATCAATTAACTTATCAACATTGTTTTTGCACTGAATAAGCATTTTGTACAGTCTCATCCTACCTTACCAACCAAGAAAGGGCACTTCTTGACCTTCCAAGCCTTCTTCTTCTGCAACCAAAATTGAAATATCTTGGATACACAGCAAAAAATGTTTAACCATTGTTTTTCAAGAACAATTGTCTGTCCTTTCACTAAGATGCAATGAAGACAAGTTGAAAACAACCCATATCTTGTTATGCAAGTTTTCATTTGTTCCTACTAGTTTGTTAAATTTTATAGATGCCATTTATATGTAGCTTTCTTTATTGTTTGCACAGCTCTTTTCCCATATATCTTGTTTTGTTTTTTTAATTGTTTAGTCTCTTAAAACACAGGGAAAAAATTTTTAATTGTTTAGTCTCTTAAAACACAGGGAAAAAATTTTTAATTGTCAGCATTCTTTTTAAACTGGTGAGCTTTAAACAGATCTGTTGCTAAGATTTTACACAGTTTCTCAATCCTTTTAAAAACATCAAATTCCAAACTCTTCTAACATTGAATCATTAGATTAAATCTTAATATTCTAAAACAAAAGATTTTTTTTATATATTTATTGATTTGAGAGGTTTGAGAAATTTTTTAAACAATAGAGCTGATATGTAGCAAATGTATGAAGATTTTACTGAGAAAGGTGCTTTATGGTTATTAGGAAATAACACAACCAAGAATGACACAAGAATAGACAAAATTTACATAATATCATCATCATCAATGAATACAAGTGCTCTTTTCAAAAACTTGAAAACAGGAAGAAAAGAAAATTTAATCACTGAAACACATCCTCAGCATTCAGTGAGTTATCTATTAGCACGTGAATATAAAAGCAGACAAAATAAGCATAACCTATGGATTAGTATAAAGAAAGTGCATGCATATAATGACAAACAAGCTGAAAGAAAACTAGCTCTCAATGTTAAAATATTAAGTCAATGGACAATTCTTTTAAAAACTTAACCTGAAATACATTGATGTAATGGTGTCATGTCTGTTATTCCTACGTAGCTTTATGGATATATATATATATATTTATCACGATAATAACAGCTTAAGCTGTACTAGATACTGTTTTCTTGATTTCTCATTTTAATTAAAAAGCAAAAAGTGTTACTTCATAGCACACAAAAAATAAAAGATGATAAATTCATTAATGCTAACCTGCAAGATCAATTTTGTAAAAAACATAACATATACACTTTTACAAAGTGTCATTCAACATGGATTATGTATTTGATGTCAGGGTTATCAACTATTAATTTTACCCTACACTGCAGTTCATGGTAGAGAAGAGTAAATACCAGGTACAATATACAGGGATATTGAACAAAATTTAGATAAGACGTGCAGAAGTTATGCAAGTGCAATATGCAAACTGTACAATGAACTAAAGTATTTTTATTCTTAACATGAATATCACCTTGCACTCTGCCTTGTCAGAGTCTGGGTTAGATTAACATTTTCAATTCACAGACATTTGTGTAGATACACACAGTAAATGTGGAGTTACATTCAATATTTCTTCTTCAATACAGGGTTGGTCTAATGGATAAAGCCAGTGCATATTTGATTAATACAAGACATACCAATTCAATTATGCTTTAAAGGGAATCTAATGGACCATTATGGAAAAACAAGGAAAGACAAAGTAGGCCTCATCACAGCTTTACTTTCTCAATATAATCCATAATATTAACCAATAACTACACATGACAAGCATTAGACTTTTTTATGTGTAATATCTTAAAATTCAAACAAGCAATGTGCAACTATTAAGTTTAAGGCAATGTGCAACTACATACAACAAATATTCAACTCCAGAATAATGCATCAGTAGAAATCCAGAATACACATACACATCACAATTAACTCTTCACATTACATAAACAAGTGAAACATGATATTCTGCAAAATACACAGTGAACTGTAGACATATACAGGGAATCCACTAGATTCAGGCTTGTCAAGAGGAAACAGTGACACAGAAAGAGAGGTTGAAGATTACAGACCTGCACTGTAAAAGTTGAAACATTTGTCACACTTAACATATTGTTGTTGGTGCTCAACCCCTCCAGGTCAGGAGGAGGAGACAAGTCATCTCGAACAGCCTGACTACGTACCAGCAACTTAACTCGCTGATGAGCCTGAAGCATCTCAAACAGGGAAAGGAAATAACATTGACAGAGAGGAAAGTACAGATATATAAAAATAATTATCAGTAAGAAAATACAAAAAACAAATCTTACAGTAATTATATAAGTTTATAAACTAATACTTTCTCAATACAATTCATATTTCAAGATGTGAATCAATAATTAATAAGACAATACAGCTCTAAGTTTCTTAACTGTCTGTAAAACAAAAAAATATTTATAATATTAAGTTGATTTTAATTCCATCCCATTATTAACAGTCCCTTACATTAGTAAATGATACACATTTGACATAAAAAAAATAACTTGTGGGGTCAAATTTGTAAGTGAATGTGAGTCAGACTTGGAAACATAGAAACAACTATTATATATTTTCTTCAGTGTCATAACAATGCATCTTTTAAGGAAATACAAACACTAACATTACTATGAATGTGTTTTTTTAAGTATTTTCCACACCAGTCTACAAAGAAATTTACTTATTGTATTAGAGATTGTAGAGCCCTTTTCACAATAAGTATATATTAGAAAAAAATAATAATAATATTTAGGTACTTTTATCCAACAATTAAGATTCTTTAAATGAAGAACTCTTGATAAATGAACTATATTATATAGAACATTAAAAAACTATGCGTAAAACTTATTAGAATTATCAAAAGCACCACAAACTATATTTTTTCATTTAAAAAATCTTGTATACACGAAAATATTGCATAACTTAATTGCTAATACCAAACTACCAAGAAATATTAAATATTTCTGAATTAGGAATGGGCCAGACGTCATATGATAAATCACTGCAAATTCATTAACTACTAAAGTTTTGTATAAACTGATCCATTTTTGGGGTCATATTGCTCCTTTCTGAAATCTGTCTTCAAACAGAAAACTGTATTCTTGTGTGGAAATTCAATAATAAATGAAGCAATAATGTTTTTTATATTACTTCAACATTTACTTTTCAGACCGCCTTTGATATACTTTCAAGATTAAAAGGGAATAAGCAAATTATTATCGATGCAGTTCCTATTATATTTATAACATTTTTTTAGCAAAAGGATAGTTTATTTTGACTTATTATAATTAACATTTCGTTAAAATTGATTCAAAATTACACTCTTGTAAATTTTTTTAATTTGAAAGCTGTAAAATAAATTTAAAGTTACAGTTCATATGACTTTTTTCTGAATAATTCTGGCCCATTCAAGCTCTTTTGAAAACTGTACATCTATAATACCAGTACTATATTACAAACATTCTCTCAGTGAGCACTTTAAGTCATCAAATTCTGAGTGACTTTGAACTATTAAATATACAAACTTGATAAAAGATTCATTTTAGACCCTTCTAAAATAGAAATATTAATTTATGTGAAACAAGTCAAAAACTAAGTACTTACACGAGACTGAGGCTTTTCCTTTACGACGTGATTTGAAACAGGTGATTGTCTAGATCCTGGTCCAGATGAGCTTGGGGTTCTTGAAGATGCATCTCCATCACTGCTTGTGGTTTCATCTCCATCTTCTCCTTTCTCTGCATCATCATCATATCTATTGCTACACTCCAGTTCTTTCGTACTTCCTCCTCCATCTTCAATACAAATTTTCACTGGAATTGTGTTACTATATCTTTCATCTTCTAACTCTACTCCTTCCTGCTTGGCTAGCTTTACATGTCTATCTGTCTGCTTCCATTCCATTTCTATTGGGTTCACAGAATTTCCACTACTGAAAATGCTACAACTGCTGCTGTTTACCCCACTGTGAACCACAATACTTGGGACTAAGAAAACAACAGAAAAATCTGAGTTAAAATGTATAACTTATAAAGGAATGCTTTTGAAAGTACAGGAATTCAACTGAAATATTAAACTTCCAACAATAACATCAAAAAATAAGTTGTATTTTGTATTAAAAAATTATTCATAATTATAAAAAATTGTAAATTACAAATTACTTAAAACTGAAGATGGGTGTCTTACTCAAAAATTTTAATTACACAGCTTTTGATGAATACAAGTAATAACATTTTCTTGAAAATACAATTTATTGTGTTTATGTTCTTTTATCACATAGTTAGTAATTCCTGCCATAGAGCTAAAATCACTTAAGTCTACTTGTACAGTCACTGGTGGTAATACTGTAACCAACTGATCATTTTTAACAGTTTAGGAGTCTTAAAAATTACATTATGAAAACATAGCAACCTAACACTGGAATATAAATATAACATGATATTTTAGCAACAATATTTTAACAACAAAATCATGACAAGAATTACAAAGTCAAATTTCACCGCTATTGTTAACAGAACCTTATAATTAGTCAGCAGACTGTAAAAGTCTTTAATTTTCATACATGAAGCACACACATTATTGTTGAAACATGTTCTGTCATTGGGCAGGTTCTTTTGAATTACTCAGTAAAAATAATGCAAATTCCAGTCCAGATAACAATAACAAATTAACTTATTTCTTCAATAAATGAATAACATTTGTTACAGACCATGTTACTTATAGGCCTAACTCACAGATACAAAAACTTACTTGCAGAATTTATTACAGATATACTAACCTTCATTGTCAAACTAGCACTGAACTAACCCAATCAATCATTAACTCACTGCTTCACTACTTATTCACTGCTTCAATGATTCTTCTATTTATATCTTATTTGTTTTCTACTTACTACGTGAAATTTCTGGACCATAACATAATGACAAAATATTAAAAATATAGCTTAAAACAATATATTAATAACATTTTATGAGGCCTATTAACTGCCTCTGATAATAAACATCCTAACATATCTTGAACATAGCCTGATCATTTGTTAAATATTCAAACAATTAAGCATATTAGGAAAAACAGATAGTAACTATTTATATAACTTTTATGATTCAATCAACCCTGAAAATGCCTAATAGTCTATATACAGTTCACTACAAGTGGGACCTATATATTTAGTATTTTTTCAACACACTAGAATTTTGGTACATATGACAACACCAAACTCAATGCAATACTAACATTAAATAATATTACAGCTTTTTTTTACCTCCACTAATATAAAAATATGCAGCTGGTAAGATAACATAGTTTGTCTATAAACACCACAAAATCAATTTATTTTTCAATAGAGTCCACTAACCAGGTTACATATTTTAGGCACCTTTCCAAAATCTTCTAAATACTGTTAAGAAGAATCAGAGTTGCAATTAAAGCTAACAATTTAGCAAACTGCTGGCTAGAGTTGCAGCTTTACAGTAAAACTTAGAAGGCATTAGAAAAAAATGCTAACACTGAAGGAAAATTCACAGACTTTTACTCTCCTGTATAAATACACCCACAATATATGCATTGCAATATTCTTAGTACAGAAGGTTACTAGTGATAGGAATTAGCTGAAATATTGAGATTAATCCTTCACATTTGATGAATTCCAATGCACTGATGCTCAAAAGCACCTATAAAATTAGTTTTGTGAGGACTTGTTAGTGAACCCATCAAGTCTGTCATGATGCCGGCTGTTTTGGGCCTACTACTGGTCCTTTATTCCTATTAAGAAATACTTTTGAATTAAGATCGTGTTATTATTATTTGTCATGGCATTAGCCATCAAACAGCTCACAGAAAACTTTGTGACCCGATTGGCTGCTATGACTTCAATACTTTAATTGTCCAAGATTAGTGATGTTACGCAGCAATACAATATTTTTGAACTATAATGATACATATAGACATCAAATATTTGTAACTGAGAGACTAAGCCAATGTGGCAAGCTGTGAGAATGTCTCAGTTTAGCCAGCAAAACTCTTTTATTGATAGAAAAGCACTACAATTCAGTGAATACAAATCAACTTTTTTGTCCAATTTTGTAAACAAAGAATCAAGATACAACATTAGCAACCTAATAGCTAATATTATCAACAGCAATCTCTGTCAGGTGTCACAGTTACTGTGATATTGTTCTATATATTTATTAGATATCTAATATTAAGCTGAAACAGTTTTTCAAGCACACCACTTATTATTCTTCAACATTCACAAAAACTTTGCTGTACATTTATGGCATTAATAATAATAGTACATAAAGATCATGCAAAATATTTAACATTGTAAATTAAAAAAAAACTTATTTTATTATTGTACTCACTTTCTGCTTTGGCCATTTTAAAATATGTAGTCATGCGGTCAAGTTAGTAATACACAAGTCAACAGGCTGAGTTCTACAGGTGTAATAAAAATTCTACTTTAGACACATGCATTATTATTTCCTTCTACAAAACAATATTTTATCAAAACTGAACATTTACCATAAAACATATGAAAAACATTCCTTACAAGACCATAGAAACAAGATATCACATAAGGAAGAATAAAAGCTCAACTTATGTTTGGCCAATGTGCTCTAGCAACTACTGTGCATCAAATTATTGTGGATATCAATATCAAAATATTACTAAACATTAAAAAAGGGGGGAGTAATAAGCTTTCTTTCAAAAGTTTATGCTGCTAAACAACTGAAAGTTATTGCCACAGTTACTTAAATTACAACCAGAGAAGTAATCAAAGCCATTATTTCAACTTTAGCATGTGCATCACTGCTGCTTACAGCTTTTATACACCTGACTTTATTAATCAAAAGTCTATAAACCACACTGCTTACTCTAGTCAATGCAACAGCAGGGAAGAGAATTCCAAATGAATCAGTCAGCTGACTGAAGAACTAGTTAATTAAAAGTAGAAGTACTATGTTATATATGCTGTACGTGTATATACTAACACACGTATTCACTGACATAACCAGTTATTCCTTATTCTA